GCTACCATTTAATTTTGATTGTGGGGTTTATATAACGGAATGCTAAATTTTTTTGAAGCTTTGCTTTTGCCTTTTTTTTTGGTGGGGGGCGACTGAAGCAATGTGAAGAGCGGTGAAAAGTATGAATTGCTAATATTTTTCTGTGGGAATAAAACCATTTATGGTGATGGATACTTTCAAGAGTCACAATGGCATATATAAAATATATTGTTTACTTTGAGAAAACAAAGGAAATGTGCCTACTGATCCCACCCCACCTTTATATAGAAACATTTCCAGTGCCCTTGTTTGTTTTCTCAGATTCAGAATTGCTGTACCTAACTACTGGGTACCCTTACAGATTTAAAAGCTGCAAGTAAATGTTTGTGCTGGCTTCGGTAGCCAGCCAGTACTAGCCAAACCCCTAATTGACCGCCCTGTTTTAGAACTCTGAATTCCTAGGGTTGGCCCTTTCCTAGTCAGCAGATCCCCTTCCCAGCCCTCCCACTTCCCCTCAACGCGCAAACATTCCCAGCCTCTTCTGAAGGCCTGCGTTTATAGTGTTGTATGATTCTCCGACAGATTCCAGACAGAGCATCCTTTGGGAATGCCATGCTTTGGCACAAAACAGCAACTTGATATTCATAAGCTTTCTATCATTCCTCTGCCTGGGGGGGTGCTTGAGACTACAATCTGAAATTGAATTGATGCTTCCTGGTGTCATTAAAGATAGGGAAATGACATTTAAATGACAGGAAACATTCACACCTCCATTGAGTCCATTCTGAGTCATTCTGACCCTCTAGGGCAGTTGAACTAACTGCCTCAGTTTTCTTCTGTAGAGTGACTTTGGGTTTGCCCCACTCCCCTTTTGCAAAGCAGGTGAGTACTTAGGTCTGTAGAAATAAGAGGTATGCCAAAAAGCAAAGAAGTATTTTTTAATATCAGCTAGAAACAATGGATGGTTAAAGCTTTTAAAAATAAAGTTTGTTTATGAGAGCATATATGTATTAGCTGTCTGAAGCACTACACATTGTAGATAATAGTAAATGATAAGTTAATTCATATATCTTACATTGGACTTTTCTTTTAGCTGAGATTATTTGAAAGTTAGAGTTAACTTTATAGAAATCGATCATGCTTGAAATAGAAATGGGGATTTACTTTTATTACCGCTAGATATTTCTCCCTCTTTTTTGTTTATGGTTTGAGATCTCTGTAGGGTCTTAAATGCATATTTTTCATGTCTAGAAGGAAAGATAATATATGTTATACTTAGTGTTTAGGGTAGTGCTTATTTTAATGAGAATTGTGTGGCTTTTTGAATTTTTTCTTTACTGAAGTGATTTCTTCTTAGTCTAGAAATAGACTTAATGTGGCCTACTGGTACATTCACATGGCTTCTGAATTTCAAATATTGAAATTGGATAATTTAATGTTTTTGTGGTGACAGTGTGTTGTTGAGTCAATTTTAACTCCTACTGGTGCTCTCTGGTATAGCAGAGCTGCCTTACATGGTTTCCTCATCTGCAGTTTCTGTCTTTGTGGGAGCGGATTGCTGGGTCTTTTCTCCAGCAGAGAAGGCTTAATTAGAAGATGAATTTGCCTGCTTCCAATGTTTTTAAAAAATTAAAAAAAATTTATATGTCCATAAGAGCTTGTAAGTCAGCCACTTCATGCAATTTTCTTCCCCCATTTTAGATACACAATTTCTAAATTGTCTACCGGACTGAGGAGACAAGATTGCTCTTTGATGAGTTTTCATTTCTGCCTAGATCTTTGGCTATCTGCATGCGTAAGCAAAGATCAGTCTACAGCAGGTCAGTCATCAAAACTGTACCAATACCAATGTGCACCAGCTCTCAGAGTTAAGCTTTTTCTTTTCATTTGTTCGGGTTCAGTTCATCTCAGCCCTAGCCATCCATGCTGTCAGTTGGCACAAGCTGCAAGTTTAGGAATACACCCCCACCCACCCACATACACCCAACACTTCAGGTCAGCTGACCCCTGGGGCTAGGCTATGCCTCAGTATTCACACAACTTTGAAAACTTTTGACTTACTAGCTCCTATTTTCTCTTGTATTCAGCCTCTGTGGACACATATACAGGTACCAGTGGAACATGTTTGAATCCCCCAGTTGCACTCAGTGGGTGGATCCAGGTGGTTACTATT